TATCAAAAATATCATGTAAGAAAAAAAACAATAAAGTATAGTGTTATCAACACGTAATAATGAAAGTACCCTTTATAAGATAACTTATTGTTTAAGCATAGTATTATCAACACGTAACGTTGAAAATACCCTTTATAAGACTATTTATTATCATTAAAATTTTTTTCAATTTTATCTAGGTGCCCTAAGAAGTCCTTACGGTCTTATCATAGAGCACCGCGGTTACGCATTTAATCGGAAGTTCACGCCTCCTTCCAAATCGATGTCGCAAAACTTGCCCAGAGGTGGGGTTTGAACCATGGAGTTTTTGTTTCTGAGGCAAATGGCTGCTTAAATTACCGCTGCGCCACGGCTGCTCAAATTATCAATTATTGATAATTTGAAGCCTAAAAAAGTAACAATGATTACTTTTATAAAAAAATTACCCAAAGTTCATTTCTGCATTTTTGGTCTTCTAATATGAAATACTTAAATTACTTAATGTGTATTAGACAGTTTCGCTATTATATTAACTTATAGTATTAAGCTTCACAGAAGAAACATGGAAACGGAATATGTGAACTTATTTCAATCAGAAAAACTAATATTATCTCCACATTAGCTGTCTTCCTGACATTTTACTTTAGGGCACTGTCTAGTTATAACTTACATGCCGTTAAATTAATAAAATGCAATTTTTACCAGATAAACTAAGTATACAGCATTATAAGGTAACATTTTTGCTTACCTAGGTAGGTACCTACCTAAAATAATAAAGTATTTAATTATTAAATACTAAATAAGGAGCATTGTTAATATTGTTGATTAATGTTGTCTTTAAACGTGTAGCAAGACAATAAATAATTTCATTCTGGATTTGATGGCTTAAATATTTGATAGTGTTTTGGGGCATGTTCAAAACTTGTTTCATAACAGTGTCATATTTTGATAAAAGATGTACTTGTGTTAAAAAATTACCATTATATTTATCCTGAAATGATTCGCGATGACCACAGAAAGTTAAACAATTTTTAGAAAAGTACTAATGTTATATTAACAAGTCACTCTAACACTTGCACCCAAAATTTTGATTCATATCAAATTTTTGCTTCTAAGCTTTTATCAATTGTTTCATTTTGCTTCCACTTATCATATACAGTGGCGACAACATAAATAGCACACTTTCATAACCAGTTGGTTTTACTTTTTAGTACCAATTTTTTTGTTTTTAATGCAACTTTTTTAAATATATATAGCATTCAAAATGTTTACATTTTTGAATGGCACTACTCATTTTACATTTATAACTGTAAAAATTGCTTGTTTGAGGCCTTTTAGCGGTCGTGCTTACGTTTTTGAGGACATTTTAAATAGCACACATTAGCATTTTATTAAAAAAAAAAAAACTAAATTTTTGTAATATATAAAAAGATGATCATTATATTTAGTATTATAAGTATATTCTTGTATATTTTTAGCAAAAAATAATAAAAAAATCATTATCTGTCAACTATGGGACGAGGTAAACATGAAACAGATGTCTTTTGAGGACAAGTACAGGCATGTCGAGATCAATTCTTAAATAGCACGAAAATTCGGTTGTTCTCGTAAGAAAGTTATCAGTGCAATTAATTTATTTAGCAATACTGGTTCATAATTGCAATAATATTAATATTAATTTTTTTTTAAATGATAGTTGTTAAACAAAGCAAACTTTAGCAAACTCAAATTTTAGATTATTTAGTGTCTTAGACGTACTTAATAGTTATGATCATAAAAAAAGCATCGATAAAATATATTTATCGCAAGAGCGATTCTTGAAAAAAAATGTTTCTGAAGGTTAATGTGCCGCCTCTCAACAAACCCACAACGTTAAACATCAATCCGCCACTGGTTTATAGTGCAAACTTAACTATAACATTATAGTTTTTCTTAAGGTTATGTCTTATTTTGAACTTGATATCTTTGAAAAGAATATTAAGAGGGTAAATCCACCAAATTCTTTTGCAAAATTGAGCAGATCTTTACGTAAAACTTACAAAAATTTACTTAAAGTTCGAATTTTTGTAATTGTAACAAATGTCAGTTTGTTAAAAGTGGTGTGAACCCTATTATGCAGGATAGTCAGGATAGCTTGTCATCATTATATTTTTGAACTGGTAATTAATGGTAAATATTGATTTAAAAAAATCAATTACAGGCATAAAAATATATATATATATATATACATATAAATGTTTTATGTTTCACAGTTTATTAAAGCTAAGTCTATTCAAGCAATAGAACCTTTGCGAAAATCGTTAAATCATGACAGATCATTAAATAACTCAGTATTCTGAAATTCATCCAAAATCAATAAAGACTGCAATCACTTAAAAAAACTTGCAAAACATGTGGTAGTTCAAATAAGAAATTTGTTATTATTTGCTATGCTGTAAAATGTTTTCTTTTAAGTGAATTGCAAATAGCTTTTAAATTGGATCAAACGTCAAAGAAATGTATTTATAAAATATATACACAAATTTTATACACAAATTTTTATTGACAAAAAAATATTGTAAGAATCTAAATGATACTAAAAAACTTGATATTTTTTGGCTCATTAAAAACTTTACGTGAGTAAACTTGAGTCTGCGTTTTGATTTGTTTATAAAATTAGAATTTATTTCCAGCATATGTTAGATTTAAAATGTTCTCTGGTCTTGTTTTTGTAAATGTTCAAAGAGTTGTTTTGTAAAATGTTCAAGGAGTTCTTTTAAGCTTGGTCAACACTTCATTTAAACTTTTAGTTTTGAAGAAGATTGCTCAGCAAATATACTGGTTTATAAAAAAAAAAAAAAAAAAAAAAAAAAACATACAAAAATTCTCGGGTCAAAACATAAAGTTTTAAAAAAAAAATAAAGATTGAGAATAAGAAATTTTTATTTTTTAAAAATTCACATTTCAAAATTCATATCCGTTTAACTTCCTCCCCCCCCCCTCCTCTCTCTCTCCTTATTTTTCCTTCAACCACGATATTATATAATCTAATTATAAAAAATAATAATAATAAAGCAATTAATAAGTATAATTAACGATTATCTAGTATAACTAACGATTACCTAAGTATAATTAGCGATTAATTGATAATGATCAATATAAGTATAATTAGCGAGAAGTCGTGGAATGTCGTCGCCGGTATAAATAGTATAAAGAGGCCAGTACAAATGGATATCATTATTACTGTAGTAAATGAAAACCCCGAAAGAGCTAGACGCAAACACAATTCTATTATATTATATAAATAATTATATATATATATATATATATATATATATATATATATATATATATATATATATATATATATATATATATATATATATTTGAAAGAAGTTTTCTCAAGTGTACATTTTTGATTAAAAGAGCACCGTTGTTATTGTTTCAAGATGTGTGAATTTTTAAATTAAATAAACAAATTAACAAAAGAACAAAAAACTGTTTTAAATGTTTTTTTGCAATAATCTATGTTAGTAATATTTTAAACATACAGTTCAGGGTGCTAATGGTGGTGGGACTAGTGGTGTTGGAATTTTGTTGCTAAATGGTTGCAACAATTAAATAAGAACTTTATTTTATCTTCTATAAACTATTGAAGAAAAAATTTCGGTTTTTTTAATATTTTTTTTATGCTAGCTCCTAGTTTAATTAGGAATATTTTGCCGTCAATAGAATTTATGAATTAATCTCCATCATAATATATATTAAAAAAACAAACAAAAAAACAAGAGCGGAAAATCTTTTTAATCGTTTTTAATGAATATTTAATACTTAGTAATATATACATATTATATGTATTTATTAGTAAGTAATATAAAATTCATTTTAAACAATTAGTTGTAATCGTTGTGTAACGTATATATTTTAAGATTGTAACTTAAATAATTAATCTAAACGAAGTTGTTAAAAAAACAAACAAATATTTTTAAAACAAAATAAATGGGAATCATTTTTTAAATCTATTTTTAAACAAATAAATTAAAAAAAAATTAGAGAGAGAAGTGCAATATTTCTTTGATAGCAAAAACAAAACTAAATTAAGATTGCAATATGCAAATTAAAATGTGTCTTCTACTTTTTTTTTTTTTTTTGCGAATTTTATTGTAAATTTTTGTATTTTAAAATTAGAATGTTGTGTATAATTATTAACAACCAAAGAATTCATATTTTTAAAAGACCCCTTGCGTTTAAAAGAAACTTAAAAAAGTTTTAACCATTGCTTTGTTTAAAACAAAGCAAATAAGAAATAAAAAGATACAAAGCAAATTTAAGAATTTTAAAAATGATAATAACTAAAAAAAAAAACAACGGTCAAATGTAATAAGGTATATTTATTATATTAAAACAATTATCGATACCTTAAAAAAAATCATAATATGTTTATTCGGTGATATTCTCATTAGAAATATTTTGTACTGCATTGTAACGTGTTTCACCTTAAAAAAAATTCAATAGAATTGGTTAAATTTCTTTATTTTAATTTTAAATAAATAAATAAATGGAAATAAAATCTACATAAATTTTGATATTTTTTGAAGGGATATGTAAAAAAAATTTCTTTTCAAGTCGAGGCTTAAAAAAGTATTTTGAGAGCCTTGATAAAAAAAAAAGATAAAAAAATTGAATCATAAAAAATTAAAACATTATGAATGCCTCAAAATGTAAACCTTATTTTATTATTAGTATTTCTTGCTTTAGTATTTGACTTAAAAAATTATTTTCTATTGACTTAACATCTTTTTGCTTTATTTAAAGTGTATTTATGTTATCTAGATAAAAGTAAACATTGTCTTGCTATCCCATTGCTTTAAAATAAAGTTTATTTGAGATTAAAATAAAAAAATTTAATATACACGAGCAAATCTAACAATTTTAAAAATCAAATACATTTATAAATAAGTAAATGCTATTATCTTTTCATGATTTCATCTTTTTGTTGTGTCTAGTATTAGTTTTAAAATTTCTCTTTCTATAAATCTTAATGTATCGATGGTTCAAACCCCCTGATAAAACTCCTATAATAGTACGGAACGGGGAGGTGGAAGCAATTACAAAAATGATTCAAATAACTAAAGACGTTTATAAGATATATTTTAAATTATTATTATAAAGATATATGGCTGTTATATCGCATATACAAGGTATTTTTTGTGTATAATTTTAGACCAAGTATTAAAGAGCGTATGATTGTCGCATGCTTAACGTGTTTTGAACATGTGATAAAATTCATTTATTAATTTTGAATAGTGATATGAGCTTTGTCAACTCATATTTATTTATATATTTTTATATGATAGTGAACATAAATAAATAAGGTATTAAGATAATTCTAACGTTTTTTGTACAGAAATTGGATAAACATTTTTTTATTGCAATTGTAAAGAATTTATTTTGAATCTAATGTTAAATTAATTAATTTAGTTATAGCTTGGAAAAGTATTGCTACAATTGCTGTGGCTAGTTCTGTATGCGTTGTTGTATTTATTTTGTTTTGTGCTTGGTGTTTCAAGAAAAAAAAGAAATTTCTAGAAAGTCGATCTGATGATCATGAGGCTAATTTATATGAAGATGACACGTCAATTTCCAAACTACCATTGTTAAAGAATGATGATTTTTCTTTTTTAAATAATGGAAGCAGAAATAAAATTAACCCATCACCAGCTAAATCTACTTCAAGTTCTTCTAATAAAATAACGCCAAATCAAGAAAAGAAAAAATTTGTGTTTGACATAAACTCTTTACCTAAACGTACAAACGAGTGTACAAATTATGTGCAACCACCACTTGAAAAAAATAAAGATTTAGGTGGCTCTTATGACACAATAGTATCTTCATGGAGCTCCATACCAAATGAGCCAGATCCATCGACTGAACGAGGTGAAGACCTTGGCTCTATTTATTTTAGTATAAGTTATGATGTTTATGGACTTGTTTTGAAACTGACTATTCAAAAGGCTGTTAATTTACCAGCTAAAGATATATCTGGATCTAGTGATCCGTATGTAAAAGTATTATTGCTTCCAGATAGGAAAAATAAATTAGAGACTCGTGTTAAAAGAAAAAAACTTAATCCAATTTGGAATGAAGTTTTTACTTTTGAGGGTTTTCCTTATCAAAAACTGCTTCAAAGGTCTGTTTATTTGCAAGTACTAGACTATGATAGATTTTCTAGAAATGATCCTATTGGTGAAATTGAAGTTGCTCTATCAGATATAGAATTACAATCTGAGCCAGTTCCATTTGTTAAGAAATTAAAGCCCTGCAAAGGTTCAACTGTGAGTATATTTACATATATATATATATATATATATATATATATATATATATATATATATATATATATATATATATATATATATATATATATATATATATATATATATATACATATATATATATATATATATATATATATATATATATATATATATATATATATATATATATATATATATATATTAATAAAATCTAATTAGTAATAAAAATGGTAATAATAATAATAGATTTTTTTTACAGTTGTCTCTAATATGTATAATATAAATATAAACATGAATTATCTGGTTGGCGAAGTACACATTAATTTATTTTGTTAAAAATTATTTCAAATATTTATATAAAGATATTTTAACTCCTAATTGTTGGTCCCATCTTTCAATATGAAACATTAGAAGTCATTGTACTGCAAAGATAAACTAATTTTTAGTTTGATTTAAAATTTGTTGTGTTAGGCAAGTGTCTCCATTTTTAAAAATTAGGTTGGTACACTATTAGCATGATTCTTATAAATGCTAACCTAACTGAGCCAAGAATGCCACTTATGGTGTGATAGACACATCAAGGCACCCTGTGATGCAAATTTTGAAATTTTTGTCCTCTAAAAATAATTTAATTTAAATGTTCAAATGAGTGTTCTGCTATGTAATATCAACAATTTTTGTGGTCATTGTTTTATTGCTACATGTACTGTTTTCATTCTATTGACAAAAATATTGATTTGCTTTTTGTGTGGCTTGAATAGCGTAAATACCTCAACGTTTCCAAAAGTATAAACTAGTGCCAAAATGCAAAAAAAAAACTGCTACAAAAAAAAAATGCAAAACCTGAAAAAAGACAGTTGATAAAACAAAAACAAAAGTTAAGGATTAAAATGGTTAAAATGTTCATTATAAAGTGTGAGCTATGATTTTCACTTGATGAGCAGTTTTGACAGTTTATTCATTATAGGGTCCCAAGGGGGATCCTTTGCGGCTAAATTGTTGATGTGGTAGAAGACAAATTAAATTTTGAGTGTTATGCTTGCACCAGTTATCATTAAGTAATACCTTTTGAAATTTTCTATTATTTCAGCAAAATCAGCTGAAGGATCAATCCAAAGCAAGTTTTTTACCACTAAATTGAAATTTTTGAATGCTTCAATTATGCGAAGAATGTCAGGAACCAAGTTATTATCAGCAAGTTGCTGGAACACATCTACATTTTTAAAAAGCTTCCTGCATTTATTTCTCATGAACTGGCCCCCATGATACAGACTCAACAACTTCTATCTAAGTAGTTTTAAGTATCTTGAAAAGATGATAGACAACTCCTATAATGAGATGCAATAACATTGGTAGATTATTACCAAAATCAGAACATTGTCAGGGCCTCTGAAGATTGGCTTTTAAATAACATTGCCAAAGAATTTTGCACAAGCAAAAACTCTGCCAGATTGCTGAAAAGGCTGGAGGCTAGATTTGATTGAGCCCAGTGTTAGCAAGTTTCCAGATCCTTAGCATAATTAGGGAGAGATCCGAATGATTTGCATTTCTTAAAAACATTTACATTTTTAAACTTTAATTTTTTGTGTTTTTTGCTTATTTTCGACTATTACTATTAATATTTTTAAAAAGTAGAATTTAAGCTTTTCTTATATAATTTATTACTTTTTTGTAAGTCTTTTTTTAACCAAAGCATCAAGTAAAAACGTTTCAGCTTTTGTTTAACTTCTGCCCCATAGTATTAAGCTAAAACTTCAAACTCGTAGATAATAAAATCACCGAATATTTGTAAGCAAAATAAAACAACATGCTACCTAATTTTTTTTTAAAAATAAATCAATAAACACGTGCACAAAATAGAACAGGATTTTTTGAAAGCGAAAGGGCCTAGATGCTATATTTTTCTTCAGATCTCTCCTTAACTACGCTGAGTTTAACAAGACACTTGGATTTGAAGTCACAACATATACAAGGGTGCATACTTGATTAGGTTTGAAGACCACAAATTAAATTTTGCAACTTTCATATTGCATGCTAAAATTAGTTTTAGCATGCAATATGAAACTCCATTTGCATTAATCAGTGAACTGATTTGTTCAATGTTGAAGTGAGTTTCTGGCAAATCTTTTGATACTGTAACAAAAATTTGTCTCTTCACTCCAGTCTCTTTGCCAGTCCTTTGAGTGAGAGATTGTTTTTGAGGCAGTGAGCTATCAACCCTTAACACAGTATCAACAATACTTAGACAAAACTTGAGGAAACCTTCATCACCATCAATTCTGAGCTTAACAAAGTATCCACCAAATATTTTGCGAGATTAAATAACATGGTTTGCAAGACTTGATAAATCATTTGGAGTGCTTGATAGTGGCTGGGCACTACTTTGACCTGAAACCAAAACATACATATTTTATCTTTATATTAAATTTTGTTCAGAAAGTTTGTTTAAAACTTTCAAATTATTTATTTTTAAAGTGATTAGAAACTTGTTAAAAATGTACTTCCCATAAACTTGTTCTTTTTTTTTTAAATTTTCTTTGAATGTTTATGTAAAAATTATTTAAGTATAAATATTTACCTAAGGTAATTGTAAGTGGAGTGGGAGTGTAACTTTTTTCACCTCTTGTTTCCTGCGCGAAATTGTTCTACATGATTTGCAGAATTCTTGTGATAACCAAGAATCAATGATATTTTTTGAAAGTCATAATTAAGAAATCCCAATATATAATTGAGAAACACAACATGTAATTTAGATATGGTAATATGTAATTAAGAAACACAACATGCAAATAAGAAATTGTAATATATAAATTAGAATATATAATTTGTAATTTCAAATTCTCAATGTAGGCTTATAGGTCATTATAGAAGGTTTTCTGGAACATGAATTTAAACAAGTTAATAATATTAAATTAAGCATTTGTATGCACAAGCAATAATAATGGAATTGAAATATCGTTGTTTTATTTGTCAATACACTATTACCCAAAAGTCTGATATTAAATTGAATTTGTGTCAGCATTTCACCAAATTATGCTGACAAGTTGAAAGAAAACACTTCATTTTATCTTCACCGAATGGCAGAAGAAGAGTTGCTGAGACTGTTGAACGAAATGACAATTAGGTGACTCTGGTGCAAAATTTTGGGGTCAAATATAAGTTAGCTTTTAATTGGGTTTGCAGCAGAAATTCAAATTTTATCGAAAGAGGTGGTTTTAAACCAAAAAAATTGACTGAGGATCAAAACAAAAATATCATTATAATTTATCAAAACAAAAACATTAAGAAAATTTAATATTAGCATCAGCATGAAAACAACCGCCAATTACTTCAAAGGCAGATTGTTTTCTTTAAAAAAAGTGCACAAGGTTCTTCCTACAAGAAACAGAAATGAAAACAAACATAATAATAAACAAACAAACAAAATAGCTAAATAAGTTAGGAGCATCAACAAGCAAATCACAAATGGTCATCAGATTTTAACCTTTTTTTGTAGAAAAATGCAAGGAATAATAAAAATCAGCGTGGAAAATGATCATGATGTAATTTTGAAAATGCATATACTAAAATTTCATAAAATCATTTAAATTTTAAATAAGTATTTAAAATAGTTCTATTATTTACGACATGCTACTTTAATTTGCTTCGTTGACAAATTTATAAAAAACTAAGTCTTTTTTTTTTTCTTCCCTTATTTAAAATACTTTTAATTTACTGGTTGTTAAAAACCACTTTTTCATGAATGATTTGAAATTCTTATTATTGTTTTAATAAAAATATGTAATATATTATTTTTATAATATATAATAATTGCTGTATTTAACTGAAAATATTTTTTCTTTTAAATGTACTAACTCACTATTTTTTTTTTTACTTTAAATCTTTTTATTTATTCTCTTGTAAGTTTTTTGCTGCAAATTTAATAAATGAATGAATGATTTATAGCTAAGTTTATAATTTTCTAAAATAGGTTTCTTAAAAATAGATGTCTTTAGTAAAATCTTGGATTATGTAACAGTAATTTTTTGAAGTAACTCTAGTAATTTGTGTAGTAGTGTTTCATAAAACAATTGTCTTCTTAGTATTAAGTATCAAGTTTAAAGAGTAAAAAATTTTCGCAAAAGTGTTATTAAAGTTATAAATAACTAATTTTTACAGTTTTTCAAATAAGCATAGATAAAAAAATATTTTATATCTCTGCTCATTAAAATTAGATATATAAAATTATTAGTGATGTACCAATAAATTTTTTTGATAAATTTTTATTTTGACTTTGTTTACATGTAATAGTGTCTATTCTTAAGATGATGTTTATAAGCTTGAATTTAACAGCTGAATGCGCGTACACTTTCACTACCATAATGTTTTTTTTGGAATAATTTTATTTTGTGTTGTTTAATTGTTATACTTAAAAGTAACCTATGTAAGCATTTTTGTCTATATATATATGTGTGTTTATATATATATATATATATATATATATATATATATATATATATATAGTGTGTGTGTGTGTGTGTGTGTGTGTGTGTGTGTGTGTGTGTGTGTGTGTGTGTGTGTGTGTGTGTGTGTATATATATATATATGTGCGTGTGTGTATATATATATATATATATATATATATATATATATATATATATATATATATATATATATATATATATATTCTTGTTCACTCCCAACAAGACTGCAAGTAACCACTATTAATTTGGGAGTTACTAGAAAAAAAGAATAGAGTTATAGATAGTGATGTACCAATAGCATTTTTTTGCTGATGTTGATGGATGAGAAAAGGCTGATACCGTTGGCGATACTAATATGGTTTTGAATTTTGAAAATTCAAAACCATAAAACTTTAAATCGTATAATCCTTTTCATGGAATCAGTACTGGTAAACAAATACTTGGACCCAAATCAGAGTCAAACCATTATTTTAAAAATATTAGAAAAACTCTTTTAGTTTTTTTTTTTTACTATGAAAAGAAAACTTAAAAAAAAGATACAGTTTTAGAGGAACACTTTTTAATTTTATTTAAAAAAAAAAATCGTGCTAGCTTTTTAACAAGGCTGCAAGTAATCTCTATTAGAGTTGAAAGTTACTGGAAGAGAAAACCGGAAAAGAGTTTATAGAGCAAGATAGCGATTGACAGACGATTTAAAAGATTGCAAACTATATAAATCAGGAAAACAAGATGAAGGAAGCGAATTCCAAAGAACTGATGTTCAAGGGAAAAAACTAGATGAATAAGAATTTTTGGAGCACTTAGAAACAGTCACAGTAAAAGAATGAGACTTAATTGAATGACACAAGAATGAATTTTCTCTTTTTTACAATTACTATAATGGGTAATACTCTTTAGAGTAGTACCCATTATAGTAATTGTAAAAAAGAGAAAGAGAAGCAACATTACAACGACATTAATTGTCATAATGGTTAGAGGTAGGCTGCAAGAGCAGGTCCAACTATGTTTACAATACGTTTTTGCACCTTGTCTAAAAGAGAAAGGACATCATCAGAAGATCCGCTCCAGATCTGGCAACAGTATTTCATACAAGGATGTATTTAAGATTTATAGAGATAAAGAATAGAATCCGGAGTAAGAAAGTGTCTAGTACGATAAAGAGAAGCAACCTTAGCAGATGCTAATTTTGCAATTGATTTGATATATGGTATCCAAGAAAGATCCGAAGTAAGAGTTAATCCTAGAAGATGAAGGATAAATCATACATCAAGCACATTACCGTTCATAAATATAGGAAGATCTAACTTATTGTGATAAAGATTGGCTGAAAAAAAGTGGGTTTTATCTGAATTAAAGTTCACCAGCCACTGTGAGCCCCATGCTGTAGAAGAAGTGAGATCCTTTTCAAGCTCAAATGCCCCCTCCAAACAATCAGAGAGTGTTGACTTCTTATCAAGACAAGAATAAATTTAGTTAAGCAGTTTACTTAGATATCTAAACAACAATCATATGTTGTTTAGATATCTAAATTATTTTTAGATAATTAAGTTGTTTTTAAAATAATTTTGTTTTGTGATGTTCAATCCCCACCATATCTCTGGTAGTACCGCATTCATCTTGTTTCTCAGCGCAACGGCCTTGTTCATCAATGTTTGTGTTTCGGAGTTAAAGTTGAGAGAGGGTTGTAACCATAACTAAAATAGCCTCCTTGACTGAAGTGGCCTTGATGGCCTTAGAGAGGTGAATTGAAGTAAAATTAAAATAATAAAAATATAGAAATATAGTAGGCTATACTTGAACACATAAAGATAACAATACTTAAATAGGTTACTTTTAAGTATAACAATTGAACTACACAAAATAAAAATATTCTCAAAACAACATGGTAATAAAAGTATAAGTACATTCAGCTGTTAATTTAAATATAAACATCATCTTAAGAATAAACAATATTTCCTGTAAACAAAGATTAATTAGTACATCACTAGTAAAAAGAAAAATTATGCATTAAAAGTTAGTTAAACACTTGCAGCCTGTTAAAATATCACTTTTTTTGAAAAATACAATAAATTACATTCACTTTGCAGGCATAGAAAGTAGTGTAAACAGTTAAAATAAATTATGAAACTTTTTACTGGCAAAGTTCTATACATAGACAATCACCAAAAAAAATTAAAGACCTATACTGTATCATATGACATGATTGTAGGCCTATATTGTAGGTGTATATTTCTAACTTTTCCTTGAATGTATTCAGTTTTCCCTTAAATGATATAATCAGTGTCTTAATTCAATTTATTTTATATGAATTTTGAATATGTATTTGTTTTATTTTATGCATACAATGTAATTATAGTGATATAATTTACACATAATTATAATTTGAGTGTAAAACACTTCAATTGCATTAAGAGTTGGTTGTAAAAATCTAAATCTAAAGCTTTAGGAATTATATTGAATATATATATATATATATATATATATATATATATATATATATATATATATATATATATATATACATATATATACATATATATACATATATATACATATATATATATATTATATATATATATATATATTAGGGATGTCCACATATACATGGAGGAAAAAAAATTTCTTCCGATTTTAGTGCACATAGGCTCATTTTGTTCGTTTTTCAATATTTAGTCATGTTTCCAAAAAGATCCCTAATCAATTAATATTTAGGGGTTGCTCAATGGCCCCAAAGGTTTTTCAATATGCATCAGCATTGGGTTACCCGCGAGTCCGCGATAAAATTGTAACAACAGAAAATAATCTGTCCATTTGACCAATCTTTATGATAAGGTTACTGACTGTAAAGCACCATTGCATTTGCATTACTTATTTATTTAGTGTTTTTAGAATTTAGATATTCTATGATGATGTCATTGTCAATGTAGCAAATGAGAATTATTTCAGCAAACTTGTGAATTTATACAGAATTTATTTAATACATTGATGTAAACTCTCAATAAAGGTAATTATAATAGTTTCAATTAGTTTCTTACTTTGTGCTGATTTCATATTTATTTGATCATTCTATTAAACAGTTGTAGGAACTATAGACAACCTGCTTAATGCTGTGTTGAACCATTAGTAGGGTTTCAAACTTTATTTGTGACAATCCGAATCCATTATAAAAATAATAAAATATATTCTAATAAATCATTTTTATATGAATTCATTGAATTAATAGGCCTATCTTGTTATTAATTCTAAAATGCTTCTATCTTAATTTTAGACTGTTGCTGAAAATGGCTGCAAAGTCAAACGCTGTACCACTGACACGCACTCGAACTGCTGTTTGGCTGATTGGTCAACCTGAAAAGGACCTACCGAGTAATGTCCTTCCGACAACGGGCGATGTTCTTCGTACATTTTTCCATTACCACAAAACAATAAAACAGACAGTATCTGCCAGTGCAAAGTCAACCTCATCTGATTTGGTAAAAATTTGGAGCAAGGCACGGATACCAATGGTGTAGATTTGGAGAAAATCTTGGGAATTGTCAAGCTTCCAGCGGGCACTGGGGTAGCACAAGCCAAGGCAACATTCCAGTTGGCCAAAATATGGGATGTTGATAGTGAAATCGTTGGCATGTGCTTTGACACCACAGCTTCGAATACGGGCTCCAAAAATGGTGCATGTGTCTTGCTGGAACAACTAATTGGGAGAAACCTTCTATACTTAGCTTGTCGACACCACGTGCATGAAGTGATTATTGGTGAAGTGTTCACAGTTTTGCTTGGCCCAAGCCGTGGCCCAAACATTGCTCTATTTGAACGTTTTCAGCAGTCTTGGCCAACTATTGACCAAATGAACTTTGTTCCACTTGATGATACGCGACTTACAGTTCCACAGCTGCAACAACTCAGAGCAGAATTTGGTCCTTTCTTGCTGTCTTTTCTGTCAGGTCAAACGTCATATCTACCACGAGAGGACTACAAGGAAATGATTGAACTTTGCCTCTTGATATTGGGTTTCACACTACCAAGCCATCCAGCTGGTGGAAAGCCATATCATTTCAGACAGCCGGGTGCCTACCATATGGCAAGATGGATGGCAAAGGTCATATATTGCATGAAGATTTTCCTGTTCAGGAATGAATTCAAACTGACTTCAACTGAGGTGAAAAACCTGTCTGAATTTTGCATTTTTGCAGCTCACATTTATGTACCAGCTTGGATTGCTTGTCCAGTGGCAAGTGATGCACCATTGAATGATTTGATGCTGTTTCAGAGAATAAAAAGATATGCTGAGGTACACAAGATTGTTTCACAAGCAGCTTTGAAGAAATTGCAGAATCACATGTGGTATCTTGGAACAGAAATGGTTCCTCTTTCACTGTTCTCCAGCAAAGTATCTGATGAAGAAAAGAAGTTGATTGCGGAAGCCATGATCCTCAGTGGAGATGATTGGAGTGTCAGGGGAAACAAGTTTCCAGTATCAAAATGTAATGAGTTGGAGAAAAAGCAACTACATGAACTGGTAACATCATCATCAACAGCTGCATTGCAGTCACTTGGACTTGACATAACTACCTTGTCAGGACTTGAGCCCCCGAGTTGGGAAGAAAGTGCTTCATTTCGAAAAACCAAAGCTGTTGTTGCTTCTCTCAAGGTTATCAATGATACTGCCGAGCGCTCTATTGCACTGATGAGTTCTTTAAACCAGTCAATAACAAAGACAGAGTCTGAAATGCAGAAACTCCTCCAAGTTGTTGAGGACAACAGGAAGCGCATTCCAGATTACCGGAAAAGCACCCTGATGGCATATGCCCCTCGGTAGACGTCGCAAGCTTGAAAACTGAAATAAGTTGAACTTTGAACACGTGAACAATAAATGAGCATGCAATAAAAATCTGAACGAACATGTTTAAAAATTGCTGTTAATTTCTTTGATATTAATTTTGATAAATTAAAAATTGTTAATGTGTGACTGATTGTGTCTGCACTGTCTGTGTCATAACCAGTATGTCTTTTTGAAATGAATAGTAATGTATCTATCACATTTTATCATCTTGTGATTCTAGTTTGAAGATTTCAGTCAAAAAAGTGCAGCCGCGGCAAGTTTATCTGTACTGTTAAACTTCACCTCCATTGAGCAACTTGTAAATATCAAAATATAAATGCCAAAATTTGCATAAAAGTTAGTTTCCATCAAAGGAACAAAATGAGATACTGTGCTAGGTTGAATTCAAAAATTTTTTTTTTTGGACATACCTAATATATATATATATATATATATATATATATATATATATATATATATATATACACGTATATATATATATATATATATATATATATATATATATATATATATATATATATATATATATATATACATATATATATATATATATATATATATATATATATATATATATATATATATATATATATATATATATATATATATATATATATATATATATATATATATATATATATATATATATATATATATTATAAGTTTTAAGAAAAAAAAAGTATAAATTTAATAGTTCAGTAAACTAAAGATTGACAGGTATGTTTCTATATAATTCCTCTGCAGGACTGTCAATCTTTAGTTTACTGAACTATTAAATTTAAATTAAAATGTTTATTTTCTACTTTTTAGTACAAAAAAGATTATTTTTTTGCAAATATTTTTGCTATATTTTATTATTGTTTTGTTTGAATTATTGGAATTATTGAAGTTTCAAGGCACCAAAAATTTTCTAAAATACAAGTTTTTTGACCAATACTTTTTTAATTTTTATTTCTCCAGTGTTATATAGTTATTGTTTTATTTTGAGCAAGCTTTAAAGAAATTTTACTGGAACTTTTTTTTGTAAGTCCTGGAATAGACCTGAAAGTAATAAAGAAAATGTCCTGGAAAAATAACAAAACAAAATTGTCCTGGTAAGTCCTGGATTCCATTTTTATCTGGTGGGAAAATATAATTAATCTTTGCATCAGTAAGAAGACTTAGATATTGCTACAAGCTTTTGTAAGTTAGCATGTTTTGGCATTGACTACAGTAAAAATAATAACTTCACAAGCCAGTATGAAAATTACATTGACTAGTTTCGATTTAAGATAAGATGTTATTCTTACATGTAATTGAATGTTGTGAACTTAATATATTAAAACATTTTTAAAAGTTAATAAAACAAAGTTAAAAGAAGTTTCATCAAAATTTGATTTGAAATGGATTTGAATCTTGCGAGGAACAAGATGCATTCTCCATTTTATACAGATCAACAAGTATGCAGTTTTTTTTTAAAAGTCAACAAACTGATGTTTAGGTATTTAACCTCTTTAAAAATTGAGTTGGGTATACAGCAGGTTTTTTATTATCACATGGATACCATAGATTAAAAGCATGATTTTTTTTTTGGTGGATTATAATTATAAACAAGAATGATGAAGTAGAACGAGATTATAAAATTCAATTAACAATTTCATTGGTTCCAGTTTTCTTGGCCAACTCTAGGAAATATTTGTAAGGTCCTATCAAAATATTTTGTGTTTTTTAATTTTTCATTTTGTTTCATAGGGCGGTCATATTATTTATCACAGAGGTATTTTCACCAGATATGGTTTTAAAGCTGATGTTACCCCTAAAATAAGAGCAGAAAAATCAAACTTTACCTTAATTGCTCATTTAAAAAAATTCATTGCTAGTGATGTGTCTCTGTATTCTAAATTATAAATTAACTATTTTTACATCACTTTTTTTTTTCCATCCTAAATATTTTTTAAACATTTTCAAGGAGGCATAGAACACTTTGTCTTTCTTAGAAAATTTCTTTCTTTAAGTTCTATAGCCTAAATATAAAATTGTTGTCAGAAATGGTCAGTATAAGTGAAGTCCTAACCTTAGACCTTGCATTATTTAATAAAATTATTGTTTTTGTTTTGCACTGTTTAAGTAATTGTGTTTTTTGTTGTTGTTGTTATTGTTGTTGTTTTTCCAAAAAAGTAAACTTTTTTAAATTTAGCTAATATAATTGCATTCTTGAATCTTATTTTTTGAGCAATTAAAAAAAAAAGATTGAAAAAGCAAATTCAACTTAAAACTGAATAATAAAATATATATAAAAGAATAAATAGAATAATAAAAAGAATATATATCTATAATAACGAGAAGATTAGTTTACTTTATTATTCTAGGATTATCTTGGCGATCTTCTGATTTCAATGTGTTATAATCCTACTTCTTGTAGAATATCAATAAGTATTATTAAGTGTTCAAACCTCAAGAAAATGGATATTACAGGCAGTTGTGGTAATTTTTTTTTGTTTTGTTTTTAGAAGTTCTAAAAAAATATTTTTCTTGTTTGTTTTTTATTATGTAATCATGCTGAAGTATTTAGACGGTGTATTAAGAAGTGCTAAAGTATATAGGATAATATTAGGCAAAGTATTTTGATCTAAGTGTTGTCTAACTATATTATTAAATTTGAAACCATTAATCTAATTAAATGTGTAATAGTCATAAATTTAGGAGCATAATTATGTCATAATTATGATAAGTAGCATAATTGTGTCATAATTTTTGATAGATAGCATAATTATGTCAGAAAACAAAAAACAAATCAAAATTTAAAATCACATTTTTACAAGTTTTTAAAAAGAAAAATATCAACAAAGTTGAATTGTTTGTAGCGAACCATTTGCCAGAAAGTTGCTCCAGATCCAGGTGTTTAATCATGAGAATCGCTACTTTAGAGAGAAAATAGAATTGGTTGAATACCATACTCCAAAAAAAGAGTTTATAAAAAGTTCCATCGCAAAAGTAAAAGGTTTGCTTAGGAAAAACTTAATATTGAGAAATAAAAAGCCTATTATATATATTTTTTTTATATTTTTCATAAATATAGAACTAAATCAGTAACAGATTGGTTGCAAGTGCTAAAGATGGTACTAAAAAGTCGTGAATCCAGCAAATATGTTGGAAGTTATTATCTGTATTGAGAATTTTTCTGATTTTGACTAAATGATGTTTTCTTTAGAATGTTTTAATTAGAAATTAGAATCTGTTATTGTATGAAAAAAATTAGATTCTGCAATTATACGACAAATGTTAATTCTAAAATCATACAAAAGTTAGCTTTATCAACACAAATAAAAATTTGATCAAATAGTTTTAAGTCAAATGATTTTTATTGGCAAACGCTTATGAGCCATTTAATGTGATTAAGTCCATAAAATAAAATTTATTTTTATTTAAAATGGCTTCTAAAATTATCATGAAAATATTAAGAAGACATTAAAACTCTTTGATTTAAAAAAATAAAACCAACAACAATAATAGAAAATTATCAATAATAGAAAAGTTTCAGAAAGTGGACTTAATCACATCGGCTTCTAAATGTCTTATATATAAATATATTTTTGAAATATTTATATATAAAAATTTTTTTGAAATAAAGTTTTTAAAAAACCCATTTGTGGCAATTTTTATTTGACATATGTTAGTTTTTAATTGAAGTTTATTTTGATTTAAATGATTTGATATTTTTTGTTTTTATTTTTATCAATTTAACTTTTTTTGGTGATTTTTTGTCTTTATTTTTTTTATAATTAATTTTTACCCTTTTATTTTAGATCCTTATATAAAAATATATCTCATATATTCTGGGAAACGTATTGATAAAAAGAAAACAACAATAAAAAAACGTGATCTAAATCCAGTTTGGAATGAAAACTTTGAATTTGATGTGCCTATAGATAAGATACGTGAAATTTCTTTTGTACTTACTGTAATAGATTTTGATAGAATTCTTCCTAATGAATCTATTGGACAGGTAACCATAGGGTACAGAACTGCAGGGCAGTCTTTAAAACATTGGACAGATATGATGAACCATCCTCGCAAACCAATTGCCATGTGGCATAAAATTATTAAGATTTAATTCTAAAGCCAATTAGTTACCAATTCTAATAGTAGCTGGTTACTAATTAGTTTTACTAGTAGCTGGTTACTAGGGTTTTTACATCTGCTGTTTATACTTTTAGTATTTATATGCTAGTTTTTATTTTGAAGCTAAAGTGACAAAGTATAAGAATTAATATATGCTATTATTCAAACAAGATTTTGATCACTAAACACATTGAAAACGTTAGCTTCGGTGCAAGAAGTTATCACCAAATCATATTTTTTTATCTGCGTTTAAATTTCACTTTATATTGGTCAGGTGCCTATACGTATAGTAGTTGATATATATATATATATATATATATATATATATATATATATATATATATATATATATATATATATATATATATATATATATATGTATATAAATATATGTATGTATATGTATATATATATGTATGTATGTATATATATATATATGTATATATATATGTTGTACATTTTGAAGTGTGTATTTGTCTTAGTAGTGTGTATTTTTTAGCTTTAATACTGTGTAGTTTTTTTTAATCTATTTTTTAACTTCATTTTATATCGGTTAGGTGTACATATTGTACTGTTGGTGTATATAAAGTAATTGTATATATAGGGATAATCACAATGTCCAAATTCATAACATATATATATATATATATATATATATATATATATATATATATATATATATATATATATATATATATATATATATATATATATATTTGTGTGCATATTTATTTTGTGTCTGCAAATAAAGAGTTTCTATATTTATGATATTTAAATATTGTGTATTTTTTTTATAAATTGTTGGTTATTTTTTCTAAATGTTTTTTAATTGTGATTTATAGTTTTCTTTTGTTTATTTTTTTACATTGTAAACATTTTGCACTTATTATTTTTTAATGGATAATTGTCTTTTATGCTTTCATAAAACATCTTTTATGCTTTCATAAAACATGTTTTGGATCTGAATAAAGTTTATTCTTTATACTAATATATCGATTGTTTTGCTTCAGTATGCAATTTGTGAAAAACGTGGCTAGTTTTGATCTTAATAAAATACTGTTGAAATATTTCTGTGATTTTAGGTGAATTAATTTATTTTGTTTTTAAAAGTTGTCTATCAGGAAAAATTTAAAATCAAATTTAAACAATTATTTATTAATTAAGAACTGGTACAAATTTATAATTTCTAAATAAGGTAATGTTTCTTTTTAATTCTGTCTCCATCGTTTTTTTAAGACAATTTTAGCATTATACAAAAATTCAGGACTCAATTCTCGGACCTCTTATCTGTAAACAATCTCAATACATCTGTAAAAAACTGTGGAACCTAATATTTTGCTAATGTTAACAATCTATTGTTAAAAATTCCTTAAAAAACTAAATAAGCATCTTTATTATGACTTTTTTGGTTCAATGGTCACATGCAAACAAAATCTTACCAAATACCACAAAGACCTAAATTTTTCTTTCGTTATGTTTCTAACCCAGGTAAGAAACACTATAACACTATGATTCGCGATTTTTTTTTTACCTGTTTGCTGGGTAATTTCAGTTAATTTTAGATGATAAATATTTTTTTAAATTATTTTTGTCGAGGAAACTTTTTACTGTGATCAACTTTAATTAGTGGCCCTTCATATATATATATATATATATATATATATATATATATATATATATATATATATATATATATATATATATATATGCCTTATGAGCATTTTTGTTTTTATGTGCAGCTTTAAATATTGTTTAATTAAAAAATAAAATACCAATATGAAAGTGGACTTAATTAATATTTTTTAGTTTATTTATAGTTGATATATTTTTTAAGTTGTTTTTTATATTATTTGTAATTATTATTAATTTGTTGTTTTTAAATTTACTTTAAAGTTTTTTAAGTTGGCACATAAAAACAAAATTGCTCATACTGCGATTTGAAAATAAACTCTTCATATATATACAGGCCCTTTCAGAGGTTTGGAGAAGCCCGGGCCAGTTATAAATCGGAGACCCCAAAGGGAGATTTGCACAAAAATCTTCCTTTTAACGACGCAAGTTAATGCAAAGCCATTTAAGTCTTCAGATAGTTCGGGAACAGATAAATGTGTAACTTTCAGAATAAATGCAATTAATTAGACAAACCGTCACTCACAGATGTTGCGCTTTTTGTACGTTTTATCAAGCCAACTAGCCAAGAAATGCGCTAGTCTACTAACTATACATTTCTTAGGGTAGCCTAGGAATTGAAAAAGTACAACCGTACAAGTGGAGTGTTACACTGTTACTTTATTGTGAATGTTACAATTCAGATTTCGCAAATGTATGATTCATAGATACATAATTGTTCATTGATTTTTATTTATTGGTTTTTTCAATAAGTAATTATTTGCAAATCTGTATAAATGAATAGTTAAGTTAAGGTCACATTTTGCAAATGAAATTTAAAGAAATTCACTCAGTGTAATTAAAACAGAATGAATTAGTTTAATTTAATTTTCACAAATGTCTTTCTTGCTTTTTGTTCTTAAAATGCAGCAATTATATATGAAAATCCAGTTTTCGTGCACTATCGCAATTTATAATCAGCATAGCTAGTCCATTAAACCGTTCCTGCCCCATAGTTGAACGATGAAAATTTTTTATCTGCTTTAAAACATTAAATATGCGTTCGCCTGAAGCCGTCAATGTAGGCAAGCTGATAAAAATGCGTAATGCAGTTGTAATGTTTGGAAGGACACCTGAAAAACAAAGATTTAGAATTTAGAAATCCCCCAGCAACTTTTTTGGTGTGCAGTCTAGTTTAAATAACACCCTAGATTCTTTTAAGAAATAAAATCTTGTGAGATTTCTTTGTCATATTTATGCTAAAAATGTTGAGCAGCCAATACAAGATCTTTATCATTCAATTTTTTAAACTGCCATAGAAAAAAAGTTTACAAATTTCTTGAAATCTGTCTAAAATCGTCGCGTGAGGCCAGGTTGAATCGAGTCAACGATGACAAAATATACATTGATTTTAAAATACAGCTCGGCATCATCTTGACTTGGGAAATAACGATTAGTTAAAAACTCACATGAAACACCAATATCTCTTGCAACAAATTTTAACTCAGTTAAAATCTTATCAAATTGTTCACGCAACCTTTAAATGTCATTACATTGATTTTTAATGTTATTCTTTTCAACATCAAAAGTAGCGTGGCGTGCCTCGATGATTAGATTTGTCTAATGTTTCATTGTGAGTAGCTTCATCCAGATAGATGACATCAAAATGCAATCAAGTTTGGAAATATACTTTTGAAAAGCATTGAGTTCCATTTTAGCCTGGGATGATAAATGTAGCACCCCAAGTTCATTTAAAAAACTTCTTACTGAATTCAAGTGTTGTGCAACTGGTTTAACAACATCAATCCGTGCTAACCATCTTGTTTTGGACATTCCATGCAACGAAACAGAAAGATGTTGTTTAGAATTTCCCATCTTGGAGGACTGCTACTTAATGAATTGTGCATTTGCTGAATTGTTCCGAAATACGTTTCTGCTTCTTTGCATGATTCAGCGCAATCGACACCAATTAAATTTGTCGCAAGCTTGTTCAATACAGGCTTTGAAATCCAGCTTCAAAGTTTTCAGTATTTTTAGTGTTCGAGCAGCAATTTTTCTTCCAGTTTTTTTTTTGAGAAATGTTCAAATAAAATAAATCTTTCTTCAATTTAAAAGTTTTAATTATCTAAAATTTAACACAAATAACTAGAGTAGTTTGCTCCTTGTACGAGCAATCTGAAGTAGCATCAACTATTATTGAAAAATATTATGCTTTCACAATTTCATGGAGGATTACTGTTTGAACATGTGAACCATAAATATCAATAAATTCGTTCTGAACTCGTGTTGAAAGATAAGGAGCTTGCATTCGCTGCTTACACTGTTGTGATTCTCGAACACGTTTAACATGCTCAGCTAAAAGTGGGTCATATTTGCTAAGAAATTCAATAATACCTAAAAAGTTTCCATTTGCTCGATCACCTATTTGTTGATTTAAACCAAAAAGTGTCGATCCACGTTCAGAAAGAAAAAGAATAACATCTAGAATACGTTAGAATAATTTTTTGCAATTTTCAGTTTCAGTCTTGAGTTCAGATAAAAGTAAATTATCCACTAAAGTTTCACATAATGCTGCTCTACTAGCAGATTTACATAAAAAGAAAACTATATTATATGTAATTACATATAATATAGTTTTCTTTAAATTGAACTTTCGACGGTATACGATCTTTCAATCTTCTCCAACATCTACTAATGCCCCATTTGGAGAAAAATGACACATTTGCAGCATTTTTGTTCAAAAGAAAACAAGGTTGCACAATACAAAGATTGTTTTTCAATACTCCAGCACAACCAGTCTCTTTTGCAAGAGTTTTGTTTAACAAACGATAAGGAAATGCATGATGATTAGAGCCTTAAACAATATTATTTGGAATTTAAAAGCAAGTAATCTTAAGAAAAGAGTTCACTTGACTAGAATTGTTCTTGTTGATAATCCCAATATCAATAAAAATTGACCGGATTACCTTGATGAGTCTGATCTGTTGTCTCTGGTTCCATACCTCGAACTTTATTTGCACTTGCATTTTCCTGTAAATAGATTTAGAGTTCAACCCGTTCCTGGTTTACAATATTTGAATTTCTTGCTGATTGTTGTTCCGAAATTGGGTCTTCTGCAATTGGAACAACTTCATTTTCAATGTTACCACTGTCACTCACGCTTTGAGATTAGTTTGCTGGTTCAACTTGAACTGTATTTTGTGATTTTTTTAAAAACAAATACATTTTCTTCGAATTGCATGCGTCTTTGGACAATTCTTTTCTCCGCCACCTTTTACTTTTTGCACCACTACCAAATTTTCTCTTCATTTTAATGGTATCTGAAAACAATATTGAAATTTTAAAATATAATAAATTTATACATCAATCAAACTTATACAAATTTATATATTAAATTATGTTTAAAAAATTAAAAATTATTTACCAGAACAAAAAAATACCACTGTTCTCAAAGTTACAAAATGTAACTTACAAAACGTAACGTACAAAGACGCAATATATCAATTTATACAAAATGATAAGAAACAGTTCAAAACAAATTGATTTAATCTCGTTTGCTGAAGTACAACAAAAATAATTGACTTGTTTTTCAATTTGATC